AAAGATGCAATTTGTTTCAATCATGTAAAGTATTTTTGCAACACATTTCGAAGAACCTAATCATATGCACTTGTTATGGACACTTATGTGGAAAATTATGTAGTTTAACGGTAAGAAAGAGGATATAGGTCAAAGACAAGGGTCAAATTGTCAGTTAGGATAAATAAAACAGAAGTTAAAAGCACGATAACCCTGGGTTAGAAGCTAAATTTACGATATAGCGTTTCATGTGATGACAATTTTTTTTGAACAAATAAAGGTGGCTTTAATCTCTTAATGGCTGTTTAGAGATTGGAGTACTTAGGCGTTTGTTTCCAACATTAGCCTGGTCAGGCGACTGTATTTGTTTCCGTAGCCACCTTGGAATATTTTCTCCGTCCCTTATTTTCAAAGATGCATTAGTCTTCCAGATGTATGTGTGACAACACATTTGAACTAGTAAATACAGGGAGATGTAACTATATCTTTCATGTATTCCAAGGATTCTGGCAGATATTCGGACTTTGAGTTTTCAGTTATCCAAACTTTAGCTGGATAACACGTTTTGTTGACAGCAACATTAAGTCTTGTCTGAATATGTAGCTATTTTCGTCACCAGTTTACAGTACATCTTTTGAGACAGAGTGGACAGCATCTCTCGATGCATTGGTCACTTATGAACTTATATGAGGAGTTGTTTTCTATGTAAATCTGCTTCAATAATTTTATTTCCTCTTCCAACTTATTGGTTATCAGTAAATAAACACCGCACTAAACCTTGTTTGTTCAGAATGGACAGAAAGCGGGATAGTTTAAATACTAGTTTGTCGATGATGGTTTCCTATAGATAGATCTTTTGGTTGATTCATCTTACTGTCGACTGACGAATACATCTGGGAAAGACAAACAGTTATCGTCTTCTTCTGCACTTGTTAAGGATGTACTACTCAGTGCTTTGTTTATTCGATTCAGAACCAACGTTACACAACATGAATCATCTCTTATGATCTGGATATCATCTAAATATCTTTTGTGAAATGGAAAATTTCCAATTAAATCCCTAGATAACGTTTCAGCATGTGACATATAAATATCTACTATTAGGAGACTCAGGAGGATTTCTATGGCAATGGCAGCAATCCAACGGAAATATTTGCCCTTAAGTGTAAACTCTGCATCGTTAGTACATTGAAGTAGCAAACCTCTTGAGTAAGGTAAGGTAACTGGAATCAAGAAGTTATGTACAGAAATTAAATCATATAAAATGTCATTTGTTTTGACTAATGGAAAATTACTGAATAGGGAGTTGACATAATATGAATACATAAGTTAACTTTTCAGATCAATACCATCAAGGTAATCAATTAACTGTGCGTATAAGGACGTTCTGTTCAGGCTATTTTACTACCTTCAGCTTCGTTTCACAACTACTAATTTTGCTTAACAGTTTTCTCATCTGCTTCCATTCCGTTTGTTACGTGTCTAGTTTTATTGATTGAAATCTTTCCCGATTTTCTTGTTTGTAATATTTCTGTTCTCATTAAGACACCTTGGTAAGATTTCTGAGCTCTATTCACTGTTTTATATTTGCATATTCTGTCACCTAATTTTGACTTGCTACCTCCAGCAGTATACTATTTTTATCTTCAGATTCGTAGTACGGTATATTCTTTTATTAAATTATATTACTTTGACCGTTGCTGGCATCATCCATGACTTAAACTACTATATAAGTCTAAAGCTTTGATGGAAAGTTACGAAAAGAGTTTCATCTGCTGATCGGCGTCTTTTGAATTCAAATCCTATCAGTATATTTCGACACCAGCATGAATCTTTCAATATGTATCAGAAATATTGTCTTTTGGTTGGATTCAAAAATCCTGCTAACCACTGAGCAGTCCTGTGTTGGTGATCTGCAAGTTGACAATTTAGGAAGGAGACGACATATGGATGAACTATATAGATGTGGGAATTTTAATTCTCTTGGTGATAATGTTTAAGCTATCAAGTTCTGCTAGGTTAACCGTCACTGTTCTCTATAATACTTGTGTGTCTATGAAACGATCTCGACAAGATTTATTTTAATCGTCAAGAATAGGAAGCACTTTACGGTTGCAATCACTTTTATTCATGATCCTAACTCTTGAACTTTGTCTGATATGAGAATGGTTACACCCGGATTTTACCTTAGTTCTTCCAAAACTGTGAAGTATTCGGTCATTAAAATGCTTCTCATTTCAGATAAATTGGAATAAGTGATGAGCTTCACACAAACCCCGATTATCATCTGAAGTTGGAACAAGGAAATGAAGTTGGTTGAACAGACCCTAAACTCTGCTTGACTTTCTAAACCTGAAATTTTCATACGAGAAAAACAAAGTTTTAGTCCAAGGGATTAAGCTTCTTTTAGATAGGCGCATTAACTAACACGAAAACGATTAGTGACATATCCTTCGTAACTGAATGAAAACATTCGGATGCAATCTGCTGGATTTTAAAGTTTGATAAAACTATCTGGGAACGGCGCGATTTATTTACTGATAATCGCTCTAATATCATTTGCACGAGACGTGATTGTCAGAATTCAAAACCTAGTGGATACCGCTCTGACGTCAGAGACAATGAGATCTAGTTTTGAATCTAAGTGAAGACACCATCACCTTTCTGGAATTAGGCACGTCCAAATCATGAGTCACAGATAAGATGAAGTGCACGTCTTCAGTTCTAATTCTAACTATTACCAATCAAATTAAACCGAAACTGCTTACATTTACATAATAATTTTTCATCAAGGATATTGTTTTATTCTTTGAATACCTTAGATATACTCGGTTAAGAAATAAACCGTAAGAAGCTCTGTTTAAAAGTCATAGGTATTTGAAGTATTAGGTGATATTATGTTGAGTAGTGTGACTGTCATCAACCAGACTTGCAAATGCTGTCAAAATATCGTCAAATTAGACATGACAGTTTTACAATGGTCTCTAATTGAGCCAAGACTGTCATTTTACTCATTGTATCATTTCAGGAATACTTTGTATACCTCCTCATAATCATCTGTAGTGTTTGTTTTTATCAGTACGAAATAAACGCTTACCAAAAGATTTAGTGATTTTACTGGGGGAGCTTTCTGCCGATACCTATGTCTATGAATCTGAGTAACTTGAGACGTCTTGGGGGAAAAACAATGTCTTATTTCGAATGGATAGAAGTTCTTGTAAAATTCTCAGCCTGCAATGAAAACGATACAACTTGGTGCAACTTGCTTTTCATATATTCAACAGTGCTTACTTTGAAAATTAAAATCAACAAACCTCAAACTGCAATAGGCTTCATACTGATAATGGCGTCAAAAATGGGGAACCGCACATTTTATGCTACTCATAAAAATGCTAGTTGGTTAGAGGCGATTGACCTAAGTTTAGTGCTTTTCGGCACTTCTCAGCAAGGCATATCTGCGACCTCGTGGTGAGTGATATCCCGCTTAGGATCGGGACCCATTACACTCACTGGTGGGGTCAGAGACTTGAGCATTGAGGTATTCGGGCTGCAATTGACCTCCTATTAGCCTAAGTAGGTCAGTGGTAGCATCTCTGACTGCAGTACTGGGTGATGTGGGTTCCATTCTTGGGCGTGACATGAGTTCCAATACGCATCGCTGACGAGTGCCAAAAAGTAAGAAACCTATGTCCATGGGTTCATGCTGATTTCCTCCAACCACCTCAAATCTCTCAGTGTGACGCAATGGCGAGTCTCTTAGCCTGGTGACCACACTGCGAAATGACCGGTAGAATTTGATCAGCACACAGGACTCAACAACATAAAGTTGGTTACTCCTTAGTGATTAATCACTACATACCACTGATGGACATTATTACTTGGAAATTTCTCTAACTGATCATCACCTCTAAATATTTAATTTAGTTGCCGACTGAATATGTCAACCAGTACTCGTTCGCTTTATTTCTTATCACATTTTACCCAGGGAAAAAGTCACTGACGATTCATTTTCCTACAATAAACTACAACAATGATTTATGGTAGGCTTGACAAAGAATCCGAGTAGTCGAATGTTTAGCACACGGGCCAAAATTATCAGTAAACATTGTCGACTGACTTCGACTCAAGTAGGGTTACTTTGTCCATTTTTGGTATGGAAAGCGGTTTGGTTGGGGGTTTATATTACATCAACTGCTACTTCGCAAATAATTATATATAATGTCAACTTATCACTTGCGCTTGGTGAAGGTAACAATGAGCTCATCTGACTGAACAGTATCTTTTATTTACTAATTAGTAGCATGGCTAACAGTATCTTAAAATTGTGTTAAAAAGACAGGATAAATTCTGTGAAATATCCACTACCCTCCGTTGTTAGGTAATCCATACAATGTTTGATAATTCTGTTAGATATCTGTTAGGGAATTGTAACATCATCTATATACACGTGTATCTTATTTCTAGTGAATGGGAAAATTAATAATGCATACAGAAAATTTGTATACTATCGTGCTTAAAATCAAGAATGTCACCTAGATTTTATTTATAATCAATGGTAGGGTATCTTCGCGTTATGAGAAGCAAAGATTCCTTTTCTAAACCATGAAATATAATACTTATGGCGGGTGCACACATGAGTTTGTTTTCAGACATCAGTATTTACCATGCAGTAAAATAAACAACTCCAGATGAGTGAACAATTGCTTGGTTGAGAAAACAGGTAGTTGATTCAGTCTTACAGAGGAATTAAAATGTCATTTTGAACACATTTTTGCCAGAAACAAGTAATTCAGTTATCTCTCAAATCGGACACAGTAAATGAGATTCATGTACTAAAACTTTCATTCAGTTGGTATGAATTGCTATCTGTGTTAACCAGATCTTCCACGACCTGGTGATAACCTTAGTGTTTGAATGAACGATATGCCTGATTGCTGTATTACCAAAATGGTACTCAGTTACTGAGTAGTGCTTGTAAATATTGTGTTTTAAAACACCTTTTTTTAATTACTTTCCTTTAGAAAAGAAAGTTCATCAGATCTACTGAGCAGATACAAAGCAAGAAAAATGTTGGGAGTTGGGGAATCATCTGGAAACGTAGTCTCTTCTAAGGTAAATATTTTTTAATACGATAAAAAGCCTTTAAAACAAAGAAAATGAAGATATTTCACAGCCATTTTTCTACTTTCAAAATTTAAATAAAATAAGCAAGCATTGTATTCGGCACCACCAAACTCACTTAAGATCTGAGACAATAACAACAATTACCAATATGACCACATCCTTCTTACGACATTGGATTGAAACTCAATCGTAAATGTTTATCGCTTTTAACCAGTTCATGTAAAAGTACAGTTGTTCTTTAATTCCATTAATGAATATCTGTCTCATGATTAAAAGGGGTAATTTTACTTTTGGCAATGAAATGACTGAAGAGAAAAATGTCTTGTAGCATGCTCATATTCATTAATTTATCTTAGCGATATAAAGCTGACACCTGTTGAGAGCTCCGCACTAACGAAGCACCCATTTAGTACAGCTAGATTTCAGGTCCATTTATAAAGTATTTTGCGATCAGATGTTTCACTTTCACATCATTTGTTCCTTAAGTGTACAAGTGAAAATGTTTTGTCTGGCTCCCAAACTAAGCAAACTGACTTACTTTGATGATAGAAAGCCTTGATTATTTCCTTTCGTATTTCCAAAGATGATTAAAACGTTAGGTGACTATTGCATGAACTGTAACATTGTATTTTTTGCCAATATATTTGCCAAGTACCTCATTATTTTGGTGAGAAACATTTTTAGACGTTGAACTGTTTTAACTAGTTAGATTAAGTCGAAAGTTTCCAAAACAATCATTCTGCTTATATAAAATAAATTAAAACTCTAATGTTTAAAATCTGTATAGGAATCTCCATTTCCTCACCTGAGTTAACTTTATTTTTCGTAAATTAGGGATATTGACTGGCGAACCTCAGTACTTAGATAGTTTCTGTGATCACTTGTAGACTCACTGAATAAATGTCTACCATTCATTTTATTTCAAAATAATTAACCACTTCATTATATCACAGTCTACTTGGTGGTTAGCAGTGGAATACAAGACGCATGTTTCTTCCTATTTGGGACTCTTTGGTTAGGTATACCTGAGCCACAGTGGATGATGCCCTTCTCGCCGTGTTTCGAACCTTGTAGTCATTTCTGAAAATGTCAAGCGTTAGCCACAATGGGTACGAGACTGGAATCTCAGTAAGAAGAACGCCATTCACTGGGGTGTATAAACATGTAGCTGATGAGTCTCAAATGAGACGATACGTGCATCTTAGATTCCACTTTTATCCACCACCAAGTCAAACATAACAGCGTACACGCTACAAAAACCGTTTTACCGTTTTGGTTTCTGGTGTAAAGTGAAGATTTAGGCCGTTTTATCCGATATTCTATCGTTCACAAAAATGAAACCAGCTTTAACTTTGAACTTTAACAACGATTTTTAAACTGTTTCAGTTATCACTGAGGTAAAAATAGTTGATAGCCCTATAAACTGCTGCAGCCTATTTAGAGAAGAAATCATATGACACTATACTTTGTTATACGACATACGATGTTTCGCTTTTAGTAAAGTCACTGCAGCATATTGGCAACCAGCTGGTGAAGAAGAAAACAGATCGAAGCTGAAAGTGAAATTGGAGCACTTATATTTCTGCATCTATGATCTGTTTGAATTATCATTCAAGCAGAGCATAACATAAACCCGGCGACTGGAATATAGACTAGACTTCTTTTACGTTGGGTCAATCTAACCACCAGCACAAAGATTCGATTTTTGGTCACAAATGTATTCGCAAACTCCTCCATTATTCTCATTCACATAAAAAGCCCGTCATATTTACACAAAACCGTTTACTAGATTTCAAGGGAAATCTTCATTGAGTTGATCTGAAAGACAGCCTGAGATCTGGCTGCAGCTTAAAATTTAATATTTTTATATGGTAAGAAAGAGAATATCAAAAGGTGCTCTATTTTATAAGGTACAATGACTTAAGTTGTTGATATTTTTTTTGAGAGAGTTCAGATTTACTACTTATGCAGTGACCTCTCAACAGGAGTTATATTCTTTCAATAAGGGTTATGAGAATTGATCTGTCTATGTTTTATGTGCATCATGAAATATTGGACTAGTTGTTGCATTTGATCCAGTTTAAAGCTGATAAATCAAGTAAAATTATTTGGGCATAAGATGTAATCTATGAAAGCTCGTTTTTTCTATAAACATTAAGGTCATGTTCTCATGGGCTTGAATAAACTATTAAGCAAAAATGAAGCAGAAAAATATTCATTCCATTTAGGCAAACATCGTCTACTGCTTAAGTTGTAAACAGTTTCAAGTAACTATCTGAATGTACATTTGTTCGGACTGAAATGATAATGTAGCTTGACGAAAACCGCCCGGTAACGAAAATCTGCTCTTGATAGACCGTACAGTAAACAAGTGCCTTAACAAGATGATGAAATTAATGTAAGCAAATTGCACAGGAGCACACTGAGGCTGTAAAAACATCAAAATAACCAGAAAGCTAGCAAATAAATCTGTAAATACTCACTCTTATAGTCTTTCAAACATGAAACAACCTTTCTTCCAACTTTCTACAGTTCCAAAATATCTCCGATAAAGAGCACATTTATAAAAAAGAGATAAGATGGCAAAAACTATTTGAAAGGAATGCATTGGGAAAAATTTAATTTTTTTCACTTTTTCACCTCATAAACTCCCAACTTTGAAATCAAGCATTCCTATCTCTCGAATATACGTTTGCTTTAATAAAAAGAAAGCACGTAAAATACAACATAACAGTGTAAAGTGATAAAAACTCAACTATTTTTCACATATTAACCTTTTCATCTGCAAATCGTACAGTAAATAACTTTTTGTTTGCCATCTTACCTAATCACTGAAATCCCTTTCACAGTCTGGATTTGAAGTGAATGATTTTCTTATAATTTCTGAAATCAAACTTAAAATCAATATGAATGTTCATATTTTTTTAATGTTTTGCTGTTTGCTTTAAAAAATTATTGATATTGGAAGCAATCATATCTTTGTAGACAAGACATGACAGAAATGATGAAAAATGCTTTGGTTGGTGACCTAGATTTTATTCCATGATTTCTAACTAAATGTAAATGATTTCGGGTAGAGAGAGTTCTTGAAAAATCTGATCTGAAAATTAATAAATATCATTTTATACCCCGAATAATTTATCAAATAATCCAGCTGTTGTAAATTAAGTGTTTTCTAGGTCTTGTTTTGTACAGTAACGAATAGTTTACAATAGTTTACACAACATCCGTCTAGTCTGTTAAGCATTTGCCATACAGAAATAAGAACTCATTGTGGTTTGAAAAATTTGAGTATTTAGTAAATGATATTCATTATTTTGTTATTTGTACTACCTAATTAATGGAAAACAATAAATTTTTGCTTCATTCTTTAAGAGTTTTAAATACCAAAGTAATGAATTGTTAATAACGTTGATTTATATGGGTTCGTACTACATGAAATATCAAATTTAAGGGACTAGAAATTCAGGAGTTCAGGGTATTTCGTCATATGTCAGTAAGTAGGCACATAAAGCAGTTTGAAGATATTCTATACTGTCTCTAGAATGTTGGTTTAATTCAAACTATTCAATGAGTATATGATACTCATCTTGATCCACTGATATTTCCATGGCCATAATACTTTCAATAACTACTGTAACTATTGTAACTAAGGATGTTTTAGTCTTTTCTTCGATTCAATCCCTTCAGCTAAAGTGGTTACATCACCTTTTGACTGCTTAAGCTACAAGTGTCTTGATATGATAGGACAAAGTTCGTGTAGCCGGAACAGCCACACTCACTATCACTTTCTTGGTGTGATTTAGAACAAAAACATTTTTAAATATCACATAACTTGACACATTTTGTCTTCTAATTGATATCCAGTTTTCAGTTACCCTCACAATTAGGATCACACTTTATCACGCATATTTACAAGTATTTTATTGCGCTGTTCTTCAAATTTTCTTGGTCTATTCAATACTTCATTGTATTGCACAGCAGTGAGAGTGTATAATGGTTTCATTTACTATAGGAAATTTTATGTTTTCATTCACAAAAGTTATTTCATATTCTTTGAACTAAGCCGAAACAGTTACATAGCAGCGAGAAATTAAAAGTATCGGTAAATTGTAGATTTGTGAGAAAATCTTTTAATTGCCTTGTTGTCAAAGATCTCTACTTCTTTCGTTTCAGTCACCATTGTTGTAGACAAATTGAGTTATACAACTTGCAGAACCTACAACTTCACTTAATCCTAAATTTTATGAATGTTTGTGAAAACTTGCTATGAAGGAGCTTCAAAAGAAACCGAAACTCTTATCTTATATTTTACCATTCACAAAAACACTGTTGCGCTTAAGCTTTGAAAAACTCTTAGAATATGTAGGATTTACGCATGAATCATTTCTAAACAGTGAGTCAATCAGCGTACGTAATTAGCTATTGATCTACAATGGTTGGCTAAGTTCTATCTAGGCTAAATCAATTGAGGTTACTGTCCTATATATCGAAGTCCTTATGAGTATTTCAAATTACTACAACAGAAAATAAATGGAAACTATGACCTCATACTAGCCGGCGTCTTACCGATTACCAGTTGGTTTATGCAATAAGATAAACAGCGAGTTTGTCAAGAAGAAAAATAGTGAAAAGTCGATTTTAAAAACTCTTTAATAAGGATTATTACTTATCATGGAGTTCCTCCCACGGAATAGGGGAATAAAGTCAGTTTAGTTGTGTCTCAAGTAAAACGAAAACACTAAGATTTAAGCATCATATAAATCAGAGCTCCAGATTTTGCTAGCTCTTGCTCCCATACCTAATATTATCTTACTACCAAAGGTTGTATCTACTCACTTTCAACAGTAAACACAACAGGATCCTCTGTTATTCGTAGTCTTTCCTGCAACTATAACTTCCATAATTTCACGTATGTCTCATGTAGTCTGGGGATTTGTGATGTACTAAAGACGCCTTGTTTCGTTTCAACGGAAAGTATTGTCTCT